AAAAACAAACAACTTTAGACTGAAACTGAAAGTATAAAGTAAAAATATAAAGTATATGGCCAAATCATAAAAACAGTAATTTTAAAAGAGAATATATAGTCACCTTTTCTTCAAGTCTTTAAACACTTATTCAATAGAATGATAAGCAGAAGATGGAGATAGATACATCCCTTCTTAGATAAACCAATAATATTGATCAAATCAGCAATTTTTAAACTTTCTGGTAGTAGACTTTTGTAACTTTTACAAATTTAAAAATTACTGAAGATTTGTATTGGGAAACTTGGAGTGATATATACACACTACTACATATAAAATAGATAACTATTAACAATAAGGACTGACTTTACAACACAGAACTCTACCAAAGACTGCAATGACCTTTATAGGAAAAGAATCTAAAAAAGACTGGATACATGTATATGAATAACTGATTCACCATGCTGTAAAGCAGAAACTAACACAACATTGTAAATCAACTATACGCCAATAAAAATTTTTTAAAAAGATCTCTAAGAGCCTTTGTTTATATGAGTTATTATGTAGAGATATTCATCATATTAAAAATTAAATTTATCCATCAAAAATAAACTCATTATATATTTCACATCCCTAATATCTTAAAATGAAAAATAACTATTTAAAAAAAAATTTAAGTGAACACAATGGCATTGTTTTACATGTTTACAAATCTATTTTAACATTTGGCTAATAGAAGACAGATTCTCATAGTATTAAATCAGTTATGTTTCATTTGGGTTGAAGCATATGAAGAAAATCCAGCCTTATATAATTAGAAAAGAGAGAAATGTTTTAAAATAGCCTTTTCAGATAAGTGTGAATATTCATATTTGATACCAAAAACTCAACAAGTGGTCATTTCTTACAAATTACCTGCAGTATAAAATCTGAAATCTTATCAATGAACTTTTGCACTGTTTAAAAATCTACTGGTTTACCTTATATTTTGAATAAATCTTTTACCCATGCATACCTGCAAAAAATCATATACTTATCTTCTGAAAAATACCAATTCACTAAGTTATACAGATTTTCTAGATTTTGTCACATTGCATCATACAGTATTTTAAAAACTCATGTTAATTTATATCACTGCCAATCTTATTTAGAAAAGTCCCTACGTACTGGGAAGCTGTCAAGCTTCAGGCAGTAAATGTAAGTTTTCAAAATACCAATACTCACTGGCAAGCTCAATCATCTTTTATTGTTGTTATTAGTTTAAAATGTTTTCATGAAAAAATAAGCATCAACATTTCAACTCACACCTCAAACAACTACAAGTGTTCTTCCTCAAAGCTATCAGCACACAAGAGCAGAAGTACTTTATGCATTCTTCTCATTTATAGACTACTAAAAAGATGTGTACTCAAGGACAGATTAACTAACATCAGTAATTCTATTGCTTCATCGAGGACATTTTAAGTAAAACTGGCTTTTTTTAAAAAAAAAAAGAAAAACAGCAAGTAGCTGACAGAGAGGAATACAATAATTACTAGTAAGGTTCTGTGCCATGCCTTGATTCATTTGAAAGCACTGGCAGTTTTATCCTCCATTTTTCACACTATCAGCAGAAATGTTAACACAGTGAAAAATGCAAATAACATCTTAAAATTAGTATAAAAATAGTTTTGATCTATTTTACCTACTTGAAAATATCTCAGGATCTACAAGTCCCCAGAACGCACTTTAAAACTCACTAGATTATATGAAAACAACCTAAATGTCTGTTGACAGATGAATAGATAAAAAAGATGTGGTACATATACACAATGAAATATTTACTAGTCAGCCATAAAAAAGAATGAAACAAAGTTCCTGAAGCAACATGGATGGACACAGAGATTACCATAATAAGTGAAGTAAGTCAGAAAGGCAAATACCATATGATATTACTTATATGTGGAATCTAAAATGTGACACAAATAAACCTAAATATGAAACAGAAACAAAATCAAGGACACAGAGAACAGACGGGTGGCTACCAAGGGGGAGGAGGGGTGAGGTAGGGCAGGAGTGAGAGTCTGAGATTAGCAGATGCAAACTGATATATACAGAATGGATAAACAACAAGGTTCTACTGTACAGAACAGGGAACTATATTCAACATCCTATGATAAACTATAATGGAAAAGATATGAAAAAGAATATATGTATATGTATAATTGAATCACTTTATTGTACAGAAATTTATATAGCACTGCAAATCAACTACATTTGAATAAAACTAAAAAAAAAGACTCACTGGATTAGATAAATCTCTTAAATAAAGTTTTCCAATTTTATAAAGTATCTATTTTTTTTTCATTTATTTTTATTAGTTGGAGGCTAATTACTTTACAATATTGTAGTGGTTTTTGCCCTACATTGACAAGAATCAGCCATGGATTTACATGTGTTCCCCATCCCGATCCCCCCTCCCTATAAAGTATATTTTAAGTTATACTATAAATGATTAAAAGTATTTTGCTACTTGAGTTCTTTTATGTTAAAATAGACATACTACCTTAGTATTAACATTCAAAAACATTTTACCATGGTATTCTAAGAAAGTTTTAATTAATCACATAACAAGACCTGATATTAAATATTATTGTTAGTGTTCAATATTCAGAAGCTAAAGCAACAGTTGCATAATCTCACTGAAAATGTTCAAATAAAAAACAAAGACTGAACAGACTAAGTAATCAAGAATTAATCTACTTAGAGCATTACTGTCCAGCAGTGTATTTGTAATATTTACAATCTAGTCAAAGAGATGAGTTCAATAACAACTGGATGATTTAAAATCTAAGTTATAGGAATTTCTGAGAACAAAGAATACCGCAGGTCAGAACAGATGGTAATGGATTCATAAAAAGGCAGAAATCAAGTGAGGACTTAAAGGACAGGGAATTAGAGAAGAAACAAGACATTTCAGAACCAGGGATTAACAAAAAAGCTAAAGGGGTGGCATTTTTAAAAGTGGGAAAAGCAAGAGGGAAGGCCACCAGTCTGACTGATATGATCATGTTGGAGAATAACGAGAGATTAGGCTGACTCGATAGAATGAGGGCAGAGAAAAAATAAGGCTTTAGAAGCCAAGTAAAATAAGGCAAACAACAGTGTACCGCTACAGTTTTCTTATGATAGAACATTGAAAAGGATAAACTTTTAGCAAGATTAATCTGAACATGAGAATTGAAGAGGAAAAGACTTGCAAAAGGAACATTTAGGAGTCAAGTACTTTCAGTATTGGAAGAAGGGGTTGATAAGGGTAAACAAAGTTTTAGACAACAGGAATGGAAAGACGTGAATCCAACAGGTAAGATGGAGTGAACTCTGCATTAGTAACCGGTTAGGTAAAGGAGATGAGTAAGTCAAGGATAATCTGAGGATATTTAGGGTTACAAATTTGAGAAATAATAAAACTATATGTTAGGCATCATGAAACATAACACATTCATTTAATTATACAAGCTTAATATGTATCTATTTTACATACAAGGAAACTGAAATCCAGAGTAACTAATCTGTCTTGCTATTAAGTGCTTTAGGATTTCAGGGGGTGCTAGTGGTAAAGAACCCACCTGCCAAGGCAGGAGACGAAAGAGATGTGGGTTCAGTCCCTGGGTCAGGAAGATATCCTGGAGAAGGGCACGGCAATCCACGCCAGTATTTCTGCCTGGGGAATCCGATGGACAGAGGAGCCTGGTGGGCTACAGTCCACGGGGTCACAGAGAGTCGGACACAAGTGAAACGACTTAGCACAATAAGTGATTTAGGCACTCCTGACATACAGGCTTATCTGACTATAGAGATAAGAGGCTATCACAGTGTTGAAAGCCTGAAGACTATAGTCATCTGCCTATGTGGGCAGTTAGCTTTGCCATTTATAAGCTGCAGAGTTCTGATAAGTTGTTTAATCTTTCTGAGCTTCAGTTTTCTCACTTCTGAAATGTAGATGATAAACAACCTTACAGAGCTATAATGAGAATTAAATGAGACAAGGCACGTCACGTAGAGCAGTTAGTAGTGCCTAGAAAACAGTAAGCCCTCAATATGTTTGCCATTATTTTATTAGTACAATGTCAGTGTAATTAACATAGGGAAGATCCATTTTTGAAAGAAAAAATGTAAAATTTCAAACAAGATTAGGTGGAGGTGGCTTCTAAGTGGGTATTTTTAGAGAGATGAAAATAAGAGATAAATGAAAAATGGAGAGGTAATAGAAATACCTCTTTTTAAATCAAAAATACCTATTTTATTTCTAAGAGGTTACAAAAATACCTACTTGATAATCATAGGCCTGAATAAACTATTCATGGAATTTTTCTCATTCACAAATCCTGATCATAAAGATAATATCTGTGCAATGACTTTTAGAAAGGTCCTATTTACTTTGTGTAAGATACTATGCTAGATGCTAGAAGTACAAAGGAAAAAGCTGTAATTTAGGTAGGCAAAGAGTAGGTTTACAAAATTACAAAACCAATGGGATAGTGTATACCACAGAAGTTGATATTGGTATTTTCAGTTTCAAGAAAATGTGTTACTTTTAGAAAAGTCTTTTCAAGTAACTGAACCTTTTAAAAGAAGGAAACTCAAATCTGATCAAGACTAGGTAAGGCAAACACATCAGTTTTTCAACTTAAATTGCCTCGGACACCATTCCCTGCAATTTTTTGATAGATGACAAGCACTTTTCTAGAACTGAAACACTGTAAATTAAAACACTACACTGTTATAAAGAATTCATACTATGAAACATACTGAGGATCAAAATGTATTTACAGTAAAAAGAATATGTGGACTAGCCTCACAAATGAAACACATAATGAAAAAATCATACTTAATAATTTAGGCATATTCAGTTTTACAAACTTTAGTTCACTATAATATCACATAACATGCACATATGTATGCATGTATTCTCAAAGACCAGAGTGTTTTTTTTTCCCTTTTCTCTAATCTGTTACCAATTGTTTTACAGTAATACTTACCCTAATATTCTATTCATTCCATGTCTAGCAGCATAGTGTAATGGAGTATTGTGCTGGTAGGGCTCCCCGTAAGATGTGTTTGGATCTAGGGATTCTTTCAGCTGAGGGTTGCTTTCATATATTTGGCAGGCCAGGTTTTCATCACCATTGATGAGTGCTTTACGGAATTTGGTGGTTGAACTTCCCATGTTTTGTTTTGCTTTTTTCTGATAGGCAATGGCACTTTTTTCCTTCACCCTTCAGCCACTTCTTAAATGCTTCTGCAACATGTTTCACATTCTAATGGAGGAAAAAATATTAGATTGTAAAACCAATAATTATGAAGCAGTATCCTAAGGAAAAAATACCACAATTAGGAATGCTAATAAAATCTAGGAGCATATATTATGTTTTACCATATTTATCTTAATAGCCAAAAAAATCTCAAATGTTTAATACTGCCCAAGTTAACTTCTTAAACTGTAATATTTTCCCAGACGGTTTCACAGGCTGTACTTTTACTATAAAGTTAGCTATATTCATGGTCTTTTCAATTTTCTCCTTCACAGAGGCAGGAAATGAACTTGATTAAAATTTAAGTTTGAATACACTTAAATTCTTGTATAAATTACATATAAATCTGATTCAGCCAATTTCTAGGATATGAAAAATATAGGAAATTTTGCTCATAAAAGAACTCCAGAATATGTTAAATTATAATAAAGTAAAATGAAATTGTTCAGTACTTAGAAGGACCTCAAAGAAAAGATTTTTCAAAAGTAAATGAATGAAACTAATTACAACCAATTACACACAGAATAATGAAATAGTGATTATTCTACCATAATACCATTACATTTATTTTCTTCTACTGTAAGTAATTCAAAACAAGGCTGAAAACATGAACTGTTTATGCCTACTATATTTGGAAAGAGGTTCTAATAAAGACCACAGGTATTTACTACTGAAGCAATGTGAGGTGGGTAGGGGAAAGACAAGAAAACAATCACTTCACGTGGAGTATGAAGCCTCACATTTACCTACACTAGCTCTGTAACTGTGACACTCTTGAAGCCTCAGGTTGCTGCCTATACAGTGAAAGGAAACAACCATTTCTTAACGACAACAGTAAGGATTATTAGAGCTACTTACTGAAGTACCTACCACAGTATGCTTAATAAATGCTAGTTTTGTTCCATTCCAATAAATGTTTCTGAATCTAGTCTTCAGCCATTATCAAAATCAGTCATAAAGGAAACAGCCTATGCAAAGGAAGGTATGAAACAAAAGGTTTATTCAATTGGTGAGTGCCTCTAGTGTTGTGCTAATAGAAGATAAAACTGAAAATAGGTTGTGGCCAGACTAAGAAATGTATACTTTAACCAGTAAAGAATGGATGAAAGTGAAAGTGAAAATCACTCAGAGTAAGAAAATATGTCTTTCCCTAATTTCCTAATTATCTTTTAATTGTGAAGGGCTCTAAGAGTTTTTGCTTTTAAGAAAGAAATATGTCTTTCTTATTCTTTGTTTTTTTGTGGTTATAAGGTAACACTTCAATAGTATATGTGACATTAAAACTATACCTCCAATTGTTATATTAATGTTTGCACTCAGAGATTTTTGTTTACAATGAACTATACTATGGCTCAAATTTTAAAAATCTATTATAGTAAGAGGGTTAAGCTCAAGGGTCATATGTTGGGGGGGGCGGAGGTGCATAGGACCAGCTGCTACAATAAGTAACCTTACAAGGAAGTGTTAAGATTCCTCAATAGATTCTTCCAGTTTGACATCATATTTCTAAAGGTTATCTTTAATACCAGTTAAATTAAGAGTAGGAGCCAATCATTTTGTTGAGGCCAACCTTCAGCCCATAATAATGACTTTAAAAATAGTTTACTTTTGCAGTAAAAGGTAACGTATTAGGAGATAGGTATTTATTTTTTAAGAACTTCATCTTCTACAAAAGATTTCTGGGAGTTGTTTATTAATTTAAGCACACTTGAGTTTTTGAGGTAGTTTAACCTATGAATGAGGAAACTCAGAGACATGCATTGAATCACAGCAGCAGAAAGCACTATATTTAAATCATACCAGCCTATCTTTCCAAATTTAAAACTAAAAGCTTTTGAACATTCACAGGTTGTTGCTTGCCTTCATCATTATCTTATTGCTCTTGTCCAAGTCTAATGCTTCAGTAAGACTGAAATTTATACTACAGAATGTACAGTCAGTTTACAGTACCTCTAAATAAAGTAAGGTTTAGTGCAGGTATCAACAAACTTTTCCCATAAAAGACCAGACAGTAAAATATGTACTTGTGAGTCATATGGCTCCCTGAGTCATATGATCTCTGTCGTAAGTACTCAACTCGGCTGTTACAGCTTGAAAGCCACAGGTAGTATCTAATCGTAGAATAGCTGTGGTTGTGCTCTATAAATTTCATCTACAAAAGTAAGATCCGAGATGTGGCCCATTAGCTGTAGGTTGCCAGCTAACTCCTGATGTGGTGGGAGGAAAATAGCTGGTTTGGAATCCCACATCTACTTCTCAGGACTAATAACACAAATCATTTAACCTCTCTGTACCTTAATTTTTTCTTATGTAAAAAAGGGATAAGGCCACCTACCCTGCAGAATTGTCAAGATTACCTAGGTTTAAGTATGTAATACAGTGCATCGTAGGTACTCAATAAATTTTATCTCCCTTCTTCTATCTGTAAGCCATTGGTTAAGAGTTGCTGCCTTTATAAACTCAATACTCAAATTCTTTTCAAAAGACAGTGAAACCTTAAGAAAAATGTCACCTACTCTATGTTTTATATCAGAACTGATATGTAGCCGGTAGTCTAAACTTCATCATTTATTAAGGGTCTGACCTTTGACAAGATAAATATTATGTATTTTTTTTAACAGTCTTCTGAATCAAAGTTAACTCCTCTTTAACTAATTTTCTAGGTCACTGCCAGTATTAACAAAGGTCTCTCAGTGTAACTGCACTTATAAATACTAAGTGAAAGGCATACAAAATTTAGTACAAAGCCAGAGCAGGAGACAGAAGTTCACACTGAAGGTACATGGAAAACACACACATACACACATAAACATATATAAGGCAGGGAGTAGGAGGTCTTACTCCAAAATGTTGCTACAAATGCAATATAATTAAGTGATTTGGGAATTAGCTTGCCTAACTGCATATTAAATTGAAGTCAGGCGTAGCTTTAATGTTGATGGCTTCCTGCAAGAAGTTCATGAACATTGGCAGTCTACAGAAAAACTTGTGGGTATTAGAGAATACTATCAAAATGATCTGAGCTGAGAAAAATCTCTTAACCAAGACGGCAACTTCCCTGTAATATACATTCCAGAAACAAAATGTCCAGACAAACAAGAAAGTATTATCCTGACAGCTCTAGAAAACTCATTGTGGCAGTCTGGCTGTCTGAGGTTTCTGAGCAGCCAAGGAAAGAGATAGTCCAACAAACTCTGTGCTGCTGGATACCACTTATAACTATACAGTTTTTACTGTATGGAGAAGGATGCTGCAGTTAGTAAAGAAAGAAGTGAAAACAGCTGCAAAGGGCAGCAACTGAGTGCTTCTTTTTGCCAAACTGGCAGATGAACACTGAAAATAGCGTGAGAACCACGGGTGGAAAGCTGCTCAAACATGGGATGCAACCACTGTATGCAGCAGCACTCTTAGAATTATTCTATTTCCTATTAAAACATAATTATCTGCAATCATCAGAGAACTCTAAGTTCTAAACTCCCCACCAGCAAAATTTTCAAGTAGCTAAAATTTTTCTTAGACAGTATTCAGCTTTCATACATTTCACTTTATAACCACTGAAAATATGTAGTGCTCAAAATGAATATCTTGGGCTCTGATGTTAAGTTAATGTCAGTGAAGAGCTCAGTTTTAGCAAGTTTGGCATATATGGTTATTTAGCAGTGTTTGCTTTCATAATTTTTGAATACTATATTGTCCTTATTTCCTGAACATAGGTAAAAATGTTAAACTGGAAGCATTTTAGTGTGGTGTGAAGAAATCAGAATCTTAAAGTTGATGCAACTGGGAAAAAGAATTACTTATGCCTCAAACTGAGGCTGCCTAAACTTAAATCAACTGTATATTCAATTAAAAAAAAAGATAAATATAACGCACCATTTACAAAACATTAGAAATTTGTAAACAAATATTTTAAGAGGTAATAATTATGAGATGAAAACAAGATGGTGGAATAGAAAAGACTTGAGCTCACCTCATCTGGAACCTAACAAAAAAGATACTGTAGTTCCAAAGACAAAGAAAAAGCCACAATGAGATAGTAGGAGGGGCAAATTCATAATATAATCAAATCACAACTTGCAAACTGGAAAATATAAAATTATATCATGAAGTTCTCCTACAGAAGAGAAAGTTCTGAACCTCATGTCAGGCACCCCCATCCAGGAAGGACTCATGTGCACTAGGATCTAGGGTGAAGTAGTGACTCCACAGGACCCTGGACCAGACCTACCTACAGGTCTTGAAAGGTCTCCTGAGGAAGTTGGGGTTGGCTGTAGCTCACTTAGGGACAAGGACATCAGTGTCAGAGGCCCCAGGGCATGTTCATTGGTGAGAGCTCTTACTGGAGGTCACCATTTTGGCACTGAAACCTTGTTTCACCTGGAGGCTCCAGTGGTGGGATGCCTCAGGCCAAAAAATCAACATGGTGGGAGCACAGCCCTACCCAACAGCTAACAGGTTGCCTAAAGTCATCTCAAGCCCACAAGTGGCTCTAAACACATCCCTTGACAGAGCCTTGATAACCAGAGGGACAAGACCCAGCTCCACTCACGAGGGGTCAGGCACCAGTCCCTCTACTAGGAAGTGGGCGCAAGTCCCTAGACCAATCTCATTCACCAGGGGGCACATAATCCAGTAATCATGATACCTACTCAAAGGTGGTGAAAACCTACAGCCACACAAAAACCTGCAAATGGCTATTTTCTGTAGTTGTTTATTCATGTCCAACTCTTTGTAACCCCATGGACTGTAGCCTGCCAGGCTCCTCTGTCCATGTGATTTTCCAGGCAACAATACTAGCGTGGGCTGCTATTTCCTTCTCCAGGGGATTTTCCTGACCCAGGAATGGAACCCATGTCTCCTGCACTTGCAGGCGGATTCGTTACTGTTGAGCAACCAGGGGAGCCCACTTGGATGT